CCTCTGCTTTCGGCCCAATACAACGTTTCGTGGCCCCACACAAAAACAAACACACACATTCACACGAACACACGCGAACAACGCTAGTGCACGCCTGGCGTGCTCATTGTATCATACTCCCACGACGTATGCGCCACATAGTGAGCACCCACATGACACACACGTCCAGGTACAGCCGCACACGCGTCATACACATGACACGCACACCACACAGCACATACGCGCAATATTCGCTTGGCGTGGCAGGAACCCTACATCAGAAGCAGACGCCTCGCCACCAAAAGGGGTGCGCAGGGGGTGGTACCCCAGGGCGGCCGTTACGCGCGCCTCTCGTCCAAACACCGCAAGCGCGGCACTTTCTCGGCACCAGAGGGGGTGCGCAGGGGGTGGTCTCTCACCGCGGCCGCCATGCGCGCCTCTCGTCCAAGGCATAGCAGGCGTAACACTTTCTCGACAACATACGGGGTGCGCAGGCCGTGGTCTTTGACCGCGGCCGCTATGCGCGCCTCTCGTCCGGTAGCAGGCGTGGCACCGTCTTGACACCAGAGAGGGTGCGCAGGGGGTGGTCTCTCACTGCGGCCGCTACGCGCGCCGCTCGTCCAGGGCATAGCTGGCGTGGCACTGTCTCGACACCAGAGGGGGTGCGCAGTGTGTGGTCGCGCCTCTCGTCCAAAGCGTAGCAGGCGTGACACTCTCTCGACATCAGAGGGGCGGGCGCAGGGGGGGTGCGCAGGATGTGGTCTCTCACCGTGGCCGCTATGCGCGCCTCTCGTCCAAGGCATAGCATGCGTGGCACTTTCTCGACACCAGAAGGGGTGCGCAAGGGGGTCTCTTACCGCGGCCGCTATGCGCGCCTCTCGACCAGGCACTGCAGGCGTGGCACTTTCTCGACATCAGAGGGGGTGCGCAGGTGGTGGTCTCCCACCGCGGCCGCTATGCGCACCTCTCGTCCAGGCACCGCAGGCGTGGCACTTTCTCGACACCAGAATGGGGGCAGGCGTGGCACTTACTCGACACCAAAGGGGGTGCGCAGGGGGTGGTTTCAAACCGCGGCCGCTATGCGCGCCTCTCGTCCAGGCACCGCAGGCGTGGCACTTTCTCGGCACCATAAGGGGGTGCGCAGGGGGTGGTCTCTCACCGCGGCCGCCATGCGCGCCTCTCGTCTAGGCACCGCAAGCGTGGCACTTACTCGACACCGCGGCCGCTATGCGCGCCTCTCGTCCAGGCGCCGCAGGCGTGGCACTTCCTCGACACCAGAGGGGTTGCGCAAAGGGGTCTCTCACCTCGGCCGCTATGCGCGCCGCTCGTCCAAGGCATAGCTGGCGTGGCACTTTCTCGACACCAGAGGGGGTGCGCAGGGTGTGGTCTTTCACCGCGGCCGCGATGCGCGCCTCTCGTCCAGGGCAGAGCAGGCGTCGCACTTTCTCGACACCACAGGGGGGGTCCCTGAGCGCGGCATCGACTCTTTGCGCGACGTGGAAGGCCCGGCCAGCGGGTGGGGTCGAAGTAGCGGTTAGCCAGTAATGCCCAGACTTTTGCCCTTCCTGGACCCCCTCAGGGTACTCAAGCTCCCAGGGCTTGACTGGCGCCGCCAATGGCATTGGCGAAGCAACAGCCACCTGCATCATTCTCGCAAGTTTCACGTCAGCTATCATCATGCCATGCATATTATAAGTATGTGGGGTTCCTCGGTAGCGTTTCGTTGTTTTTGTGTGTGTGTGCTTTAACATTCCCAACCCGCCTGTGGAGTTGGGTCCTCGTTTTGAATTCGCAGCGCCGCTTCGCGTCTCCTCCTTCTGCTTCTCCTTCTCCTTCTCCTCCTCTCTTCCTCCTCTTCCTCCTCCTCCTCTTCCTCCTCCTCCTCCTCCTCCTCTTCATCCTCCTCGTCAAGATCATCATCTTGATATCAATCACAACGCTCATCATCCTCATCTTCATCCTCATCCTCATCAGCATCAACATCAACATCAACACCAACACCAACACCAGCACCAGCACCAGCATCAGCATCAGCATCAGCATCAGCAGCCGCAGCCGCAGCCGCAGCATCAGCATCAACATCATCATCATCATCATCATCATCATCATAATCATCATCATCATCATCATCATCATCATCATCATCACCACCACCACCATCATCATCATCATCATCATCATCATCATCATCATCATCGTCATCGTCATCATCAGCATCATCATCATCATCATCATCATCATCATCATCATCATCATCATCATCATCATCATCATCACATGTTCATCACACCCTTCACACGGCTCGTACCCCTAGGGAGCTCCACCGAAGGCCCCAACAACGGATCTAGCAGTGCAGAAAGCTTCATCCTCCTCTTCTCTTTTGCCTTTTCGCATTTCGGCACACCCCTGACACGTGTCGTGGCCCCGTTGGGAGCCCCACCGAGGGCCCCAGTGGCAGGGTGCGCATGGGTACCCGCCCCATTTCGGCAGACCCCTCACACGTTTCGTGGCCTCATAGGAAGCTTCACCGAGGGCCCCAATGGCAGGGTTCACATGGGTGCCCGCTCCATGTCGGCAGACCCCTCACACGCTTGGAGCTCCACCGAGGGCCCCAGAGGCAAGGTTCCCATGGGTACCTGCCCCATCTCGGCAGGCCCCTTCCACGTCTCGTGGCCCCATATGGAGTTCCACCGAGGGCCACAGTGGCGGGGTCCACATGGGTACCCGCTCCATGCCGGCAGGCCCCTCGCACAGTTCGTGGCCCCATAGGGAGCTCTACCGAGGGCCCCGGTGGCCGGGTTCACATTGGGTGCCCGCCCCATGCCGGCAGGCCCCTCACGCGTTTCGTGGCCACATAAAGGGGGCTTCCACGAGGGCCCCAGTGGCAGGGTTCACATGGGCACCCGCCCCATTTCGGCGCATTGAGCGGTCATGTTGGTCGTTTCCATGTCCGTAGAATGGGGTGGGCTCTTCGCCAGGGTACTTGTTTTTTGCGATCAACTGTTTTGCGATTCTTGTAATTCTACGAGTAGTTGATCCTTTGTTAACGGGGGTCTCGCTTGAATGTCAAGCCCATGGGACGCCCGTTTCTTTCGATGGGGCTTTTCTAGTCTGACTCAGGATTTCCCCTGGTCCTCACCCTGAATATACTCTTGCCTTCCGCCTCCTCCTCCTCCTCTTCCTCCTCCTCCTCCTCCTCCTCCTCCTCGCGACCCAGCATGGCTATGGACTGAAAGCCGCCAAGCCGAACGACCGCGTATCCCCCCCCACCTCCGAGACAACCGTGTCATGATCGGTTCCGTGTACAATCAGCGTGCGCTCGGGAGGGCACTCGAGGCGACACAAGCCTCTTCCGAGGGGCACCAGGGCGCAACAACACAGAGCACGTGCGTGCGATCATCTGTTCTCGACGTCGGCGTGACACGTAGAGGCAGGAGCGCCCACCACGCGTGCTCGGTGCCCGTCCGGAGCCCCAAATCTGGCCGAAGCTGGCTCGTTCCCCGCAAGCGCCGACCGCAACATCCCCCAACCTTGTGCAACACCACCGATATTTCGGCCTCCGCCCGCGTGCACAGGACGCGGAGGATGGGGAGGGCACGAAGGGCACGCGCAGTGTCGAAGGCTGGGCATAGCCATGCGTGCCTGCTGTAGCTGTGCCTCCCCTCCCCTCCAGCGCAATCAGGCAGGCTGCTCATTGCAGCTGGAGGCAGGGAGGGGAGGACGAGGCGTAGAGGGATACTTCGGGGGGTCTAGTTCCCAACCATATTGTGATGAGTTGGGCCCGCGTTTTGCAGAGACAGCGCCCCGCGTCACTCCCCTCCTCTCCACTCCTCCTCCTCCCCCTCCTCCCTTCTCCTCCAACCCTAGCCTCTGCGATCCGCATTTGGCACACTCCTCACACGTGTCGTGGCCCCATAGGGAGCTCCACCAAAGGCCTCATTGGCTGCGTTCGCATACCGCCACTTTCCTCACTTTGGCACACCCGTCAAACGTTTCGTGTAGCTGTTAGCTCCACCGGAAGCTCCAGTGGCTGCGATCGCATGCTGGCCCCCCTCACTTTGACACACCCATCACACGTTTTGTGGCCCCGTTGGGAGCTCCACAGAAGGCGCCAATGGCTACGCTCGCATGCCGCCCCCTCCCTCCCTCACTTTGGCACAGCCCTCATACGTTTCGTGGCCGCAAAGGGAGCTCCAACGAAGGCCCCAGTGGCCACGTTCGCATGCTGACCCCCCTTCACTTTGGCACACTCCTCAGACGTTTGGTGGTCTCATAGGGGAGCTCCACAAAAGGCCCCAGTGGCCGCGTTCGCATGCCGCCAGCCCCCTCCCTTTGGCACACCTCTCTCACACTTTTCGTGGCCCCATAGGGGGTTTCACCGAAGGCCACGGTGGCTGCGTTCGCATGCCCCCCCCCCCTGTGGCCTCACACGTTTCGTGGCCCCATAGGGAGCTCCACCGAAAGCACCAGTGGCTGCGTTCGCATGCCGCCCCCCCCCTCACTTTGGCACAACCCTCACACGTGTCGTGGCCGCAAAGGGAGCTCCACCGAAGGCCCCAATGGCCGCGTTCGCATGCCGCCACCCCCCTCACTTTGGCACACCCCTCACACGTTTCGTGGCCCCATAGGGAGCTCCACTTAAGGCGCAAATCGCTGCGCTCGCATGTCATCTCCCGCTTCTCCATGTGTCTGTCAGCCGCAACGGTCTACATCAACATGTAGCCCGTTTCGTCTGACCTTCGCGCCGCCTGCGGACGGCCCCAACGGCAGCGCCCGCATGGCGGCCCCACCCCATTTCGGCGCTCCGTTCAGCGTTCCGTGGCCCCGTAGGGAGCTCCACCGAAGGCGGTTCTCACAACCGCGGTATTCACAACTGCGTATGGTTGGGTCGTTCGCCAGGATAATGTTTTCTTTGGTTCATTCCTGGACTTTCGGGAGAGCCATACCACCGATCTCCAGACGCCCCCCCCCTGCGACTGCATTGAGAGCATGGCATGCCGCCTCCCTGCTGAGGCACGAGCCGTCTTTGCCTTTCATCGCGACGTCACCCCGCCGTGCCACGTGCTTGGCTGCCCAATGCGGAAGTTCTCGGAGTGTCTCCTGTGCGTAGCGCGGGCGGCCAGAACGGTCGTTCAAGGAAGTCCCTGCCCTGGCCACCCATGCAACAAGAACGCACTTGTACAATGCAATCCCTTTGCGCCCGCGTGGCTGCAATATCGCTTTCGAGTCAGATGCGGCTCGCACCGAACTGGAAACTTTCAGATCCTTGCTGCCAACGCCGTTGCAATAACGGTCGCCTGCACATTCCACCTCCTCATCAGTCGGCATTTTCCATGCTTTGCTTTACATCCCAAATCGGAGGCAGACCTGAGATATGAGCGTGAACATGTGGAATACGTATCCGAAAATCGCCAAAGCCAATCAACAGAGAGCCAACAAGGAACACACAGCGGGAGCCAGCGGGAGCCACCGTAACACATGGAGCCGATGAGACAGAGACGGTCAGCAAGGCAACAAGCAAAGCAGATAATGAGAGGACTATCGAGGCAGCCACTGAGTCAGCCAAGAAGCAATCGACGAGGCGGTCAACGAATCAGCCAACAAGGCAACCAACGAGGCAGCCAAGAATACAGTCAACGATTCAGCCCACAAGGCAGCCAACGAGTCAGCCACCGAGACAACCTACGAAGTTCTCGACAAACAACCACCGAACAACCAAGGAAACGACCGAACGCTAGCCAGCAGGGCCGTCAACCAGAACTCAAGCGCTTGAAGCTCACGCCTGCTGCGAACATCAACTGCCGTTTTACGACCTCTGTCTGCGTGCGATGGTTTTCGATTTGTCTCTGTTTGCCAGAGGAACGCGCCGCAAGCTTGCAAGGCATCGGCTTGGCCTCAAGCGGCACCCAAACCAGAGTCAACCAGTGCAAGACCCTGCAATGCCTTTGCTCGGGCGAACCTTCGTTAGGGCTCACCTCCATCTCCAACTCACGATAACCTTCATCGGCAACGCCTGGTCTGGACGTCATTGATCGTGCACTGAGGCCACTGGCCCTCCGCTCCAGCGTCACGGCTCTTTTCGTTATCAGCCCTGCATCTGCTCTTCTCCTCCCTTTCCCGTCTCTCAATGGGGTCGACGCCCCGCGAGACACATTGACTGGGTCGCGGCGCCTGCAGACCCGCCGACAAAGTAAGTACGCGCGTGTGTGTGTGTGTGTGTGTGTGTGTGTGTGTGTGTGTGCGTGTGCGTGTGCGTGTGCGTGTGCGTGTGCGTGTGCGTGTGCGTGTGGGTGCGTGTGTGTGTGTGTGTGTGTGTGTGTGTGTGTGTGTGTCCGTACCCCCCTTGGCTCAAGCCGCTCTGGCTCAAGCCGCGTGCCGCCAGGAGACCCTTGCCTTCATTCCTTCTCCACCATCTCTACCTTTCCCGTCTTCCTGGCATGGCCGCGTCGCCAGCCGTGGACCCGCTGCAGGCGGCTGACCCTTGGAAGAGGGCGGCTGCCGCTGGTGGGCACTGGAACGCCGTTGCCGTGCTCCCGAGTGGAGGCTGGCGCGCGTGGCGACCATGGGACCAACAAATGTGGGAGACGCAGGCGGCGCGCCGACGGCGACAACGACGAGCTGCGGCCTCAAGACCGGCGCGAGGAGCGACAGCGTGAAGATAGCCGCGCGGAAGGGCGCGAACGTGAAAGTAGCCGCGCCGAGAGAGCGCCGGACGAGCCGTCGCGCCGGGCCCACCCTGTGCCCACACCAGATGCACATGCTGCAAGTCTGCTCGAATTGCGGATTGCTGAGCTGAGCGCCGGCGCCGGCACTCGTTCCACTCCTTCTTCGTGGACGTCGCTGCAGACGTCCCTCACCGCCTCGGGGCGCGACCTGGGCCCGTGCCCCTGCTGCGGGACGCCGAAGCTCTCGCACCTCGCCTCGTGCTGGCGTGGCGTGGCGTATGGTCCGCTCCGGCCACCCTGGCCCGGGAGCGTGGGGGGGGCACGATTGAGGGGCAACGAGAAGGAGGAGGAGGAGGAGGAGGAGGAGGAGGAGGAGGAGGAGGAGGAGGAGGAGGAGGAGGAGGACGAGGGGGAGGGAGGAGGAGGAGGAGGAGGAGGAGGAGGAGGAGGAGGAGGAGGAGGAGGAGGAGGAGGAGGAGGAGGAGGAGGACCAGCCTGGGAGCGCGCCGACCCGTCGGCGCCCGGTCGCCCGAGGCCAGGGCGTGCCGAGACAACGACCTCTCGCGGGCGCCGGCCCTCTCCCTCTCCCGCGACGGTGCGCCGTTGGGCTGGTCGACCCGGAGAGGCGACGGGGAGGAGGCCGTCCACCCCGACCCACTTCCCCAGGAGATCCCAGAGGAAGGAGAAAGAGGCGGGGGAGGCGGAGGGGGCGGGGGAGGCGGAAGGGGTGGGGGACGGATTGACGGCGGAGGCGGAGGCGGCGACGTGGGCATTGGCGGAGGCATCGGTGCCAGCATTGGAGGCGGCGGACGTGGCGGAGGTGACGCGTGCGAGGGGCAGCTGCACTGTGCCTCATCGATGTCAGTGCAGGGGGCACCTGTGCAACTGGCTCTGCAAGCAAGTCTACCCCGTGCTGATGGTGAAGGGCAGCCTCCGGGCGGCCTTGCGAGGGGTCCGATTCGCATCCCAACAAGGCAAAAAGATTGGACCTACGACTCCGTTCTTGGCACCATGGCACGAGAAACACACTGTCAGTGGATTTTTTTGTGCGAGCCTTACTAGTCGAAGCGTTGGCAATTGGATGATTTGTCTCATTTTCTTGCTTTTGCCGCTTTTGTGCAGACAGTGCGCCATGTTCGGGTGGTCACGAATCATGCTGCCGATCCTGCAGCGCTGACGGAATTCCAGACACAGCTTGCAAACCATCAGATACGGATGCTATTCGATATCATAGAAGACGCACGGGATTTACCTGATGCTGGGGACTTGGAATTGACCGATGGCAGACCTCACTCCCGTGAGATACGTTTTGGGAACAGCGTTGGATATTGGCACGTGCATTTAAGGAATGGTATTCGCTGGTTTGCAAAGCGGCGCGGTGCTTTGCCACTCTCCTTCTTAGATGACCTTGCGACCCGGGCCACGATCGGTACTGTCAACGCCCCGCTTTGGGTTGAGGACCCCAACATGTGCAATCACGTTCTGCCCGCTGACGACACGCTGTTAGGTGCTTGTGCTGGCTCCGAGAACTTTCGAGAGACGCTCGCGAGGCGGCTCCGCAAGGTGATCCATCGTGTGCGTAAGCTGGTGGAGGCGGCAGATTTGGCGGGTCAGCAGCCGGACCCCCAACAGCGGACAGCACTTGTCCGCCGGCACTCCTTGGAAGCCACTCGGGCACACCTGCGGGCTCGCAGTGCTCCGCTGGCATTTGTGCACTGGAGACGCGCGGAGGACTCCGACACGGAGCCTGCTTTGGAACAGAAGCGTCGCCTTACCCTCCCGATGCCGCCGCGGGACCTCGGGCGTACATTGGAGTTGCGGGCCGGACCATCACGAGGATTCGAGCGGCTACCGGTGCTGAAGCTGAAACCCCGCGGACGGACGTGATGTCCGGGGCTCAGACGAAGCCCCTCGACATCCGCATCAATGGCACCGGCATGGGACCACATCTTGCTCACGCTGTGATCGCAGCTGTGGCTAGCGGAATTTCGTCCGAGGACGCGTGTGCGTTCTTGCGCCCAGCTCAGAACGACAGCCCGCGTCTCTGACGGGATCCGGGACTCGGCCTCACCCCCGGCGAGTCGACAGGGGCAATGGAGCGGACCTTGACGGATTGCGGCGGCTTCTGCCACGTCCGGACTTCCGCTGCGGAGTACGGTGAACATTTTGTGGTCCAGCGCATTTGCAATTATCGAGCATGGATTGTCCGAATCACATCAGACGATGGGTGTGCCTTCATATGGAAAGTATTGGACGAATAATATTTGCACGGCAAGGAAGCATCAATCAACTTAGAGCATGTTCCGCCGCAGGGGCTGGACGAGAGCACTGTCACAATTGGGTCTGCTTGCCACACCAGAGGACCCGCATGGAGAATGGGCCTCGTGGGAGCCGGCGGCGGCTGCAGCGTCGCAGCTCCGCAGTGCTGCTGAGCTGCTCTGGCCGCTCCCCGCCAAGGCACCCTCCTCGAGGCAGTGCGGGGTGCAGACGTCCGTGAGATCACGAGGCTGCCAGAGACCGGGGTTGAGCCCTCACCCCGGCGACTGCCTCGATCTGAAGGGGCCCCAGACCACACAAATAAATACACACAAATAAAAAGATTCCCCATATTTTCATATATATTTTCTCAGTTTTTGTCTTCCCCCCCCACTTCCATAGTTTCGCCTATTTTCCTGGGGATCGACGATTAATTGTGTCTGTGTGTTTCTTTCCCTCCTGAGACTGCCTCGATCAGCCGGTGGGGGGCACGGCGCCGCCGCGAGACACCGCTCCCCGGCATCCTTCGCTCACCGAGCCTCTGCGGCTGCCGAGGTCGGCCTCTCGAGCCTGCTCCAGGGCCGGGAGGGGCGCGCTCCCTCCCGTGGCCACCTCCCGGGCGCCGCGGTCGGCTTCTGCGGCTGCCGAGGTCGGCACGGGCCAAGATCGGGGAGACGTAAGACCCGGGTACGGGGGACTCGGAAATCCCCGACGAGGTCGTCAAAAAAATGACGAGGCCGAGCCTGCATTTTGACGAGGCCTCCCGCTGCAGACATCCCCCGAAACTCCTCCTCGTCAAAATCCGAGTCGCGGTCGTCAAAAAACGATGGCGAACCCGAGTCCCGGCAAACCCGGGTCTTACGCTCCCCCGACAAGAGTGGTCTCACGGGAGCCGCCTTCTGCCTCGGCCCGCGGCGTCTTTTGAGCGGTGATGCTGGCCAGGAGCTCCTGGATATCCATTCCCACCCTCTTCTCAACAGCCCGAGTACGGGGATGGCGTGTCCGTGATTGGCAACCGGTTCCGAATCAGTTTGGTGACCGTGTGCGTGCACATTTCATGGTAAACGACGAATCGCTCCATGATGCTTGGATCTCCACGTTTCCTCATTCCAATCTGTATTTGCAACATTTGGAGGACGCGTGCACCAACCACAATTTGAATGAGGAGTGCAGCGCTTT